GTCTTCCACAAAGAGAGGAGCCTGAGCCCCGCACCCGGAGCACAGGGGCTTGTAAATCACACTGTTAGCTTAATGGCTCAGGCCATTATTCTAAAGCAGTGGGGCTGAACCCACCCAGTGAAAACAGTCAATTTGTTTACACTTTAGTCACTGAACGCCTCTGTAATGCCTGTAATGTCGGGGCGTTGGCCCTGTGGTGGGGGAGGTGGAATGTAGTGGAGGTGGAGACCTCCAGATGCTTGGGCAATACCCCCCCTAGAAGTGGACTTTGGATCTTCGTTATAACGTGGACTTGGCCATAGAGACCTGGACCCTGCAGGTCGGCCACCTTCGCTGCTGGGGCAGAGCGCCAGCCTCCGACCTCCATGCCTGATGGGCACCGAATATGGGAAACTGGGTGTGGCCAGAGCTTGGGCCCGGTTGGGAGCCATCAGAGGAGCTGGGCGCTTGAGCACTGGGACAAGCATGGGGCGGGGAGGTCGAGTCCCCATCCTTTAAAGACATTTAAAAAATAACCTCACTTGTTTTGTCGAAGATCCATGTACTCACTGCAAAAACTCAAACAATGCGGAGAAGAGCATTAGAGAGGGTAAGACTCAGCCTCCACCCCACCCGAGACCCCGGCTGCTGCCACTTGGGGCCCTCCTCCGACGTCTGCCCTCGAGCACACACACCTGCGGCCACTCGCGGCCGCCTCTGTCCGAAACGCTCCCACGGCCGGTTCTTTCTGTCAATACGAGGTTGTGACGTGCCAATAGGTACAGACCAAAGTTGTCATTTTCAGTGGCTGTGCAATATTTCACAACACTGCAGGTCCTCTCTCTATATTACTATCATGTACGTGAGCCACTGCCTGGCTGGTGGCATCCGGCCTCCACCGTCCATTGTCGAGACCGCCATAAATATTTGGGGCACTGGCCCTTGTCTCCGGGCCCTTGTCACCGGCAGCCCTTTGTAAAGAGGGGGGAAGCATCTGTTTTTCTTGACTTAGTATTAGGTGGCCAGAGGCTGTGTGCTTCAGACCGAGTCACTTTTGAGAGCAGCAGGCGGGGCTATTAATAATTCCGCCTCCCATCAGGCCCAAAGCAGGGCTGACCTGGGCAGGTGACGTGTGCGGCCCACCTAGGGGGAGCCCGAGGAGGAGTCTGCAAAAGCGCGTGGACAGGTGGGCTGGCCGGAGCCAGGAGCGTGGTGACTGGGTGGTGGGTAAGGCGACCATCCCCGCCTGGGAGCTTGAGCCGCCAAGTAAGGTTGGTCTCTCTCCTCTGCCTGAGGCTGCAAACCCTGGGCACCCTGGGGCTGAAGCTTCTCCAAACTTCCCCGTCTAGCCGTGTACCTGCGCAGTTACCTGTCTGCACGTCTGTCCGTCCAGCGCCCTGAAGCAGCATATGCTGATGCTGAGAACGGGACCTGGCACAGATGTGATCAACACGATTTGTGAATGAGTTAATGAGTGAGTGAGTGGGTGAATGATCACCAGGACCATCCTCATGGCAGCTGCCATTTATTGGCACCGTAATAGGGCCAGGCGCTGGCTAAACCTTGTGCACGTGTGCTCTCATCAGCCCTCCCAGCAGCCCTGCCAGGGGAACGTCCCTGCCCCGTTTTGTAGAAGAGGAAAGAGGGTCTTGGACAGGTAAGGCCACCTGACAGGTTGGGAGTGACAGGGTTGCCATGTGACCCGGGTCTGGCTGACCCTGGAGTCACGCACGGAGACACAGCACGCCTCTCCCTCTCTGCTGGCCTCTCGCTCGGCCCCGGAGACGCCGGCACGCCTGGTGGAAGGCACGTGAGCCCCCAGCCCAGCCATCCTTCCACTCGGGGGTGGGAGGCCATCAGTCCACACTCGTGCCCCAAATGGGAATCGGGGCTGTTCCCTGACAGTTCACTCTGACTGTGGGGTCTGCCACCTCCAAGAGCCCCCGTGCCCCTCCCACATGGCTCCTTGACCAATGGACATGGGACCGTGGAACCTTAGGTTGGCAGAGACCCTCAAGAACTAACTCAGCCCTTCATTTTCAGATGAGGAAACTGAGGCCCAGGGAGGTTCAGAGACCAGCCCAGATCTCTTAGCTGGCTGGTGGCACAGCATGAATGTCCTGGCAGAAAGGCCACTCGCCAGCTGCTGGCTGACCCCCCCTCTGGGCACCGGCCATTCGAGGCAACTGCTGGTGGCAGAGACTGTAGAGAGCCCCGGAGCCGCGCGGCCTAACTGCTGGGATCCTGCGGGCCAGCGAGGAATCCCGGCTCTGAGGGACCCCTCCCCTCCTTCTCCTGGTCCCTCGGGCTGGCGGCCCTGTGAGCGC